ACAGCATCTTGTTCCTCACATGTCCAGAGCTCCTTAGCTGCCTTTTGTCTGTGCCAGCTGAGAAGAAAACACTCTTGTAAACCATTTCACTGAGCTGGATTTGAACAGTGCTTCTCTAGAAAACAGGGATGAGTGCAGGACTGCCCTGGATCCGTTTTAACTCTGTTTTTCTTTTTGGCACAGAGAGATCAGCCAAAGATGGTGATGGAGTACTGGACTGGGTGGTTTGATAACTGGGGAGGCCCTCACTATGTCTTTGATGCAGATGGTGAGCACCAAATTCTGTCCTTGCAGGCAGGGGAGCAATTTACCTCCTGTGGGAATGTGGTGAATTTAAGCCTCTTGCAAGGGTAGCACCTTCTTCGTGGTTAAAAGCTCATTAGGAAGACTAGTACTAAAAAAATAAACCAACAGCTCTAGAACCTCCAGGGCATCTAAACTGCAGTGAAAACAGAGCTATATAAGACTGTTTTAATGACTCTCTTATCCTCCTGCAATTGTCTTTGTAATTGGGTCATTAGTGTGTTCAGTTTAGGAGTCTGGCTGAGTAGTCCTTTCAGCTCCTCTGCTTAAAAGCAAAATTTCTGCTGGAGTCCATGAACTTTACCCTTTTTCACTTAGAGCAGAGGATTATTTGAATGTATGAATGTGCCCCAAAGTGTCAGTCCGAGATACAAACCACCACACCAATCACTGTAATTGCACAGGGGTGGCTGACTGACAGGGACCAGGGTGTTTGGGTCTGCTTTGAATTCCTGGCAGTGTTACAGCCCAGATTTGTGGTCTGTGGCCCCTCTGAGACTGCCCTTCCTTTGCAGAAATGGTGACCACTGTGGCCAGTATCCTCAAAACAGGAGCATCCATCAACCTCTACATGTTCCACGGAGGCACCAACTTCGGCTTCATGAATGGGGCTCTGGAAGCTGATGAGTACAAGTCAGATGTCACCAGTTATGGTGAGTTTTCTTTCACTGCTTTGCCTGTGGTGGCAGTGCAGCTTTGATACCCCTGGGCTAGTTACAGTTGACAGAGACACGCTTAGAAATGGTCAGTAGAACCACTCCTCCTAAAAACTCTGAGCTCAGAGGCAAACACCTGTCTAACAAGAGGGTTTACATTAGTATTTCCTATTTCCAAACCCATTTCAGGATGTGGAGGATCCCCTTACTAGTTGTAAATTGAGGCAGCACAGATGATGACTTTGCTTCTCTTCTTTCTAGGAAGGAACAGTGATCCACAATACCATTCTGGTTCTTTATTTTACCAAGTCAAATTGTATCATAAATCTCTCTTCATCCCAACAGCCCTTTGTTAAAATGCTTAATTGTTGACTTTATCCTGTGTGAAATTCTGGATTATGTGCAAATTAGGTCTCTGAAAGTATGTTGCTCGTTCACAAATGGCTCTTCTCCAAATTAGTGGTTGTTTAGTGACATTCACAGTGGTTATTTAGTGACATTCACTCAGCTTAAAGTGCCATGAAAATTGTGTCTTGGGCTTTTACTTCTTGCATGAAGCTGTCCCAGAGCTGCTGTATGTTTTTAAATCACATGTGCTGCTTTTCCAGATTATGATGCTGTGCTGACAGAGGCTGGAGACTACACATCCAAATTCTTCAAGCTCAGACAACTCTTCAGCGTGATCATTGGTAATTATAGACCCAGGAACCAAAATACTGTTCCACCTACAGTGTTAAATGAGGGAATTGTTTAAACTGGCCCTTCTGCTGGAGTTTGTTGGTTGGCTGGGGAATATTTCCAAAAGATGGGAGGGGGACCAAAGGTCTGGAGGGGCCTTAAATGTGTGTTGGCTGAAATCACTGTTCCATCTTTCTTTTTTTTTTTTTTCACACCCCAGGCCATCCTCTTCCTCTGCCTCCCCTGATTGAAAGCAAGGCATCATATGGTGCAATCCTGTTGCATCAGTACATCTCTCTCTGGGATGTGTTACCATCTCTTTTACAGGTAGGAACACCCATTTTAATGCATCTCAGGCCTAAAAGGCATCACCTCTTAAATGCAAAGGGCAATTAGTGCACTGGCTTGTTATCCCATGAGGAGAAGGGTGGGCAATGTTTCGTCAAGGATATGTAAAAGAAGCAAATCTTTTATCTCTCCTTTTGGACTGCTACTTTTGTTTTCTTTGAACTCCAGTTTTGCAAGGCCTTGGCTCCCATTTCTGGTACTTTGCTGTGGCTTTCAGAGAGCCACGAGGGAATTAGGCTTGGAGCAGATCCCAGGAGGCTCCCAGGGAAATGTACCCCGTGGCAGAGCGTGAACCTGTGTGAAATGAGCCTGTCAGTGCTGGGAGACCACTCCTGACCTTACATTTGCCTCTCCTTTGCAGCCCATGAAGTCAGAATTTCCTGTTAACATGGAGAATTTGCATCTAAACGACAGCACTGGGCAGTCCTTTGGGTATGTGCTCTACGAGACTGTCATTTTTGGGGGTGGCCAACTGCACACCAGGAACCACGTCCGGGACCGAGCACAGGTAAGGACCAGAGGGCATTTGGGACTCACTGGGGTTGGATGGAAATGCTTTGGTCTGGAAAACTAAGGCAGCAAATGGGGGGAAATGTGAACCTTTAGGTTAGGAGTGTGATTCTCTCTTTCCAGTTCTCACCCAAGCCCCAACCCTTACCATTTGTAATCAAATTGGAGCTTCCAGTTGACTAAAACTTCTGATGTCTTTAAACTTGAGAATGTTGAATATTCTGAGAAATACTGTGGGTTTTTTTCCCACCTGGACTGAATCAGTGACACATTTGTGGACACTTGAGTTCTGGTTTCAAGTAGAGATAATTTTCTCCCCAAATACAACTTCAGTAACCTGTGCAAGACATGGTTATGGTAAAATTGATGTGAAGTTGCTCTTGTTTTGTGTTCTCTGTTCTGCAGGTGTTTGTTAACACTGTGTATGTGGGTGAGCTGGACTACAACACAGTGGAGCTCTTCATTCCTGAGGGACAGGTAACTAACTGGGGGTTGCTCACAGCAATAGTGTGTGGATAACAGAGCCAGGATCACTAAAGAGGAATTTCTCTCAGGAAGGCACCTCCCACCTACCCCAGACAAGCTGGTACAGCAGGCAGTGTTTTTATACCCAAACTGCACACCATCTCACTGATCAAATAGTGTGATTTCACTGCCAAGTTACTATTTGTGATGGAAAAGTGAGGTTTGGCTATTTTTCCATGGAGAAAATTCAAGTTATTGTACTCCTTGCTGCACAAAATTTGCCAGCCTTCCTGCCACAGGTACAACTTGGACATCAAGTACCTGTACCCTGTTTGTGCAGATTAAATCTGTGTAGGCTTCATCTTCCTTAGCACAAAGCAGGTTTTAAGGAGGGCTTGGGGGCTCTTGCACCTTTCGGGTCTCAAATTAAATGAGGGGAGATTGAGGGCAGTGTTACCCTGGCAGGAGCTGGCACCAAGACTAATATATTGATTGAACACGTGTCAGCAGAGCTGTGTGTGGCTCTAGGAGTAGGTGAGGGGGTGGGTACACCAGTTGTTCCCAAGGCTTGTGGGAGGCTTTATGACACAAGCCTGTCCCATGTCAAACTCCACTGCTGGCTCTGGGGGTGACATCCAAATGGGACACAAAAATTCAGCAGGAAAAAAAACCCCAGAACACTCCTGTGCAAAGGCTGAGAGCTCCTCAGTGCTGTGACTTTAAAGTAAACTGAGAAATGGCAGCTGCCAGAGGTGTTGGTGCCACCTTTCCTCTGAAACACCTCTGCTAACCAGGCATGAAGGCTGATACAGCACTGGCCCAGCTGATGCTCTTGCTTTTCTTTTTTTAGGGCTTCAGGCAGCTGAAGCTCCTGGTGGAGAACCGTGGGCGTGTCAATTATGGCCTGGCGCTGAATGAACAGAGGAAAGGTGGGTTAAGTTCTTTTATATTCTTCTTTTGTAGGGGTGTAGCTAAACCCGAGGCCATCAATGAATCTTCCTCCCCTCTAGGTTTCCTAGGTGATGTTCAGATTCCCTTTCTCTTGCTCTGTGAGCATTTTGCCTCACAGGGAGAGAAGAAAAATACCTTTTTTAATCTGTGTTTTCCCCCGGGGGGTTGATATTGGAGGATCACGCCATTTAAGAACTCACACAGCATCAGGAGTGAAATGCATCCTGTTGAGCAGAATTTACTGAAGTGCTCAAGTCTGTCACACACAGCTGTGGAGCTGGAAGAAGCTGAAACCCCAGGATTCTGTTTTAGTGGGAAACTATATGCAAAAGCTATATAAAATGGATTAATGGAGTTAGGCACGTGACTGTACTGATTTTATTTAATGCAGAGGAGGTGCATAAAGCCTCTGTGCTGCTTAGGCAGCCTCATCTGCAGGACCCAGGCTTTGCCTGCTACAGGGAGAATAATTATAATGAGAGTGCTAAAGGTAAATTACTGATTAAGGTGCTTTAGGATCCTTGGATGAAAAGCCCTGGGCCAGCACTGGGCTTGCCCACGTCATATTTTGCTGTGCCTGTTAGAGAAGTAACTGATTCACTGCTCTAAAAAAAACCTAAATAAACTAAAACCCAACAATACCAACCACCCCCCACTTGCTGCATGTGCCACCAGTGTTCTCTGCTTGGAGTTGTGGAACGACTTGGTGAGTTGAAGCAAAGGAGAGGATGGAGAGGCCAAAGCATAGTAATGTTCCCCACTCAATCTGGATGAGCAATGGGACCATATGGACTCTAATTCCATTGCAGAACGTGGCTGCTTTCCATCCCCTGCTGTTCTCTGCATTCAAATAGGAAAATCCATCAGCTTTATCAGTTTTTCAACTCTTCATTACCCCCATTGCTCTCACAGGCTTAATTGGTGACGTCTTCTTGAATAAAACCCCCTTGAGGAACTTCAAGATTTACAGTCTGGAGATGAAACCTCCCTTCATGGAAAGGTTCGTGGGATTTAAACTTTTTTTTTTTTTTTTTAATTCTTCCTCCTTTGAAATCACCTGTTTACCAGCACTGCAAAATCTAATAGGGAGCAGCTAAATGTATAAGAAAGGCAACATGAGGTAACAGCAGGGAGGTGGATTTTTGCACTGAGAAGCTCCTTGCTGATAGATTTGCCTGAAATAGTGCAGAAAATAGTGCTAGATTATCCATACCATTAGTTAGAATGAAATGTATTTGTTCTGGGGAGGATTTAAAGGTTTCCTTGCAGCTTGTAGGTTAGATCAGGTAGGTAAGAGCAAGGCTTAGCCAAAGGGGTGGGTCCACACACCCCCCCACATGTTGGAGTAGTTTGGGTCTTTCTGGAAATCACCAATATGGTTGATATATTTAGTAATTCAGACTTCAAGGGGTGGATTAATTCTAGAAAGCTACTAATAGTACATTAACAATCCAGATGGCTTCCTCTCTTCTGTGTTATTGTGCTTTAATTCAAGGAAGGAAATCTGTCAGGGGGACATCAAGGAGTCTCTGTCAGCAGATACAGAAGATCTTAGGCATGTTTAAACCCTGTGGACTCTGGCCATGATCCAGAGAGACTCTTCAGTGCTGTTGTTAATACCAGAAAGCAAGTTATGAGCATCCCCCAAGATATCACAGCTCCCCAGTTTTGTGTAGGAAGGAGAGAGGGGGCAATGTTAAACTCCAGTGGCTTTTCAAAGGAAAAAAGGTCCATGTTTGGAAATTTCCAAAGGACAATTTTACGAGATTGCTTGAAGGATTCCTATTGATGGGGTAATTCCCAACATTTTGGGCTGCAGGGTGCTAGAGAAATATTTCCAGTGAGGAACATTTAGAGCAAGTGAGCTGCCATGCCCAAGTAAAAGCAGGATTAGTCCCCACTGCCCTCAGTTCCTGGCTGTTGACCAGCAGCACTGGAACACAATCAGCTTACAGTCCCCACGGGGGAGGAGGGAGCAGGGTGTTGTAAAAGGAACTGTCACAGGCTTTTAGTTGAATAATTCAGTAGCAGTCAGGCTGCACTGGATCAATAACTTCCCTGAGTCCAAGAGATGCAGTTCCTAAGGGTCAGCAGGAACATGTCCTGACAGAGGCTCAAGGCTTCTGTGGGATTCTACACCCCTTGTTTCCTCTTTTGTTTGTGCCCTGCTCCCCAGTTTTTGCCACAGGTAAGAAATAATGTCAGATTGCCCCTAATTACTGCAAACCTGCAGGGATGTGTTCATGTTCCTCCACAGGAACAGGGGCAGATCTGGAGGAGGATGGGCACTTCAGCAGCCAACATGAAAGAGAGCTTTTCATCAGAGAATCACTGGTTTGGGTTGGGAGGAACCTTAAAGCTCATCCCATTCCACTCCCTGCCATGGACAGAGACACCTTCCACTATCCCAGGTCGCTCCAAGCCCCCAGCCTGGCCTTGGACACTTCCAGGGATCCAGGGGCAGCTTCTCTGGGCAACCTGTGCCAGGGCCTGCCCACCCTCACAGCCAAGAATTTTTTCCTAATATCTAACCTAAACCTTCTCTCAGTTTGACTCCTTTCCCCTTGTCCTGTCACAACCTGCTCTTGTGAAAAGTGTTTTATGTTGCTGTGAAGTATCAGAGTTGGTGGCAGCCCCAGATCTCCTTCCCTTGGGCCCCAAGCTGGGCTGCCAGTGCTGTGGACCGTGAAGACACAGCCAGGTAGCACCAGGACACGCCTGTCTGAAGTGGGTCCCTCTCTTTCAGCCTGCAGAAAGTTTCTGGATGGAGCTCAGTGCCAGATTACTTTGTTGGTCCAGCGTTTTTCCGTGGAAGGCTGTGGATAGAGCAGCAGCCACAGGACACTTTCCTGAAGCTACAGGCAAGTCCTGGTTTTTCTTGATCAAGATTTTTCAAAAGCTGATTAGAGAGACTCTTGTGCACTAGCTGTGACTGAGCTCTGTCTAGTTCTTATGGGAGTTGGCATTCCTGTTGTCATTCTGTGGAAGATTGCTGCTCCTGCATAGAACTTCTGATGAGATATTAAGTATTATTAAACTTTCTCCTCTGATTTCCCTCCCTCAGAGCCAACCAGTCATTACTTACTGCTCACTTTCCCATTAATACTTTGCTGTAAATGATGCCAGTCAGCAGCAATACAGTGTTTCTCTCACCTGGGAAAGAGGTGAGGGGAAGATATTCCATGCTTGGGAAGGAATAAAATCTGTTCAAAAGGATGAAGTTTCCTGTACAAGCACCAATCACGAATTGCACATTTTTGAAAGCTTTATCCTTTTAATTAGTACATTAAGGATAACTCCTGTTCAGCAGGGCTTACTTAAATGTTCATGGCTTCAGGGATTTGTGCAGGGAAAGCAAGCAGAAAACCTGTGGAAAGTGGCTGGAAAGAATGCAAGTGTGAAAGCAGATTTAGTTTCCTGGGGGGATGTTAACGAGGCAGCAGAGCTGCATCAGTAATTCCATGTTCTGCCTCGATTCCAGGGCTGGGAGAAAGGAGTGGTGTTTGTCAGTGGGCAGAACCTGGGCCGCTACTGGAAAATCGGACCTCAGGAGACTCTCTACCTTCCTGGGCCCTGGTTAAAGAAAGGGGACAATGAGGTGAGGGGAAATGGGGGGATTTGCTCTTTGCCTGTTTGTGTTGTTAAAGATCCTGGTCTGAGCCACGTCCCAAAGAGCCAGACATGTACAGGATATTAATTACCCACCTCTAGCTGGGATAAAGCACAATAAAGGGAGAGTGTTACCTCCTGAGATCTGTAAAAATTAGGGAAGGTGCTGCTCTAAAGCTACTCTGGCTCTGACAATGATTAAGACATTAGCAGCTAAACTTCAAAGCACTGCATGAGGTTCAGAATCGAGACAAACCTGATATGGTGCTGGTTCACTTCTGCACCACGTGGTGCCGAAGGAGAATCACGGTTACTGTTCAGACTCGCACCGATTGATCCCTTTGAGTGGTGCTTCCTCCCCCTGCTGTGAGAGTGTGCCTTTCCCTCCTAAAAATGCTCAGGGTAACTCAGCCTCTGTGTGAAGGAATGCCACACAAAGATATGCCTGCCTCCTGCAGATTGTCCTCTTCGAGGAGCGCACGGCGGGACGGATCATCCAGTCTGTGGACATCCCTTACTTAGGAAGGACCCAGTATGTCAACTGAGGAGGAGAGCTGCTTTCCCATGTTTGGTTCATCCTGAACATTCCTGGTTGCATGTCTGGGGACATGATGGGCATGCTAATCTCCACTAGACCAAGGTAAAGGATTTGCCCTTTGGCAGCGAGTTCAGAGGAGGGAACGGGCCCCAGAGGAAGCAGGGTCCGTTGTTGGATGGATGGGTGGATGGATGGGTGGATGGATGGATGGATGGGTGGATGGATGGATGGATGGATGGATGGATGCAGCAGCTCATCTCCCTGGACTACTGAGGACCCCCAGCCTGGATGGCTGCGCATGTTTTGGACCATCTGGTGAATGTGGGGGAGTAAAAAAGGTGCTGGAGGCAGGTGAGAGAGAGAGGAAGAACTGAAGCCATCTGAACCAAAAGCTGAGCTCAGCTTTCCAGTGACTTTAAAACTGTCTTATTACTGGCCTCCTTGTTTTTATAATTAGGTAGGGAGAAAATAGTTGGTGAACATGTGGGTAATCAGGTGTGGAAAACCATTTGGTTGTGCTTCCAGGCAGATTTTAGCACCTCTCTCTGCAAAGAGGCCATTATTTGTTCAGTTGTTGGAAGCCAAGGTGGTTGTCAAATGACTTTTAATTTGAGCTTTTTTTTTTTTTTCACTCAGTTTTATTATGGAGGTTGTCTCTCTCTCAAAAGAAAAAAAAAAGTTTTAAAAAGTGAAGTGTGTTTTGTCCTTTGTCAAATCCTTATGTTTTAGGCCAGTAAGGAATGAGAATTTCCAAGGAGGAGAAAAGAAAAAGTGAGTCTTGCAGTCCTCTCTCCACCTGCTGCTTGCACTGCGAAGCACCTAAAAATGAAATTTCCCCTTGTAAAGGGATCAGATTTTGGTCAGGATAGAAGAAAAGGGATTGTGCACATAGTTACAAATGGGAACACATCCATACTTTCTAGTTAAACCTGTTAGGGGATCTTGGGTCCTGGTTTCTTTTTCTTTTTTGTCCCCGCAAGCAGAAACTCAGGATTTAGGTAAACACAACAAGTTGTTGTAACTCACCAGCTCCAGGTCCCAGAGGAGCTGCAGTCTCTTTAGGGAGAGGAAGAGATCAAACTCTACCTGTGAATCCATTCAGAACCTCCAAGGAGTTGCTCAGCCCCTGCTCTCTGTGCCAGGAACAGGATTTGGGCTCTGAGAGAAACACCAACCATGCACTGGCTCTGTAACAGAGTTGCAGGGTATCCTGGCTCTTAGAAACCATCATTTTATTTAACAAATTTAAATACAGTTTGTTTAAAACTTGAGAACAGACAGTGCAGCTGTAACACACCCTATCCTGGCCAGAGCCAGTCCTACTGGACATACCTGTCCCTGCTCCCGAGGGCCACAGCAGCCTCTGGGAAAGCTGGAAGGGCCCAGGCTCGTGGGACCAGAGCAAATGTGCAGGGCTGTGCTCAGGACTCCATCCTTTGCACTTTCTGAAAGTTATTTCCTTCCAAGGAGGGAAGGTTGCAACCCAGCAGGGACTGGAATTAAGATTAGTGAACCAAAACGTGCAGCTCGGAGAGAGGACAATCAGTTGGAAACTATTTAAGTGGCGTGAGAACTTGGTAGTCCTGGAAAAAATGTCTCTTTCCACTGTAGGGTTTGCAGACTGAAGGGAACTTGGGAAGCCAATACAACAGGAGGATTAATCTGCTGGAGTGCAGAGAGCTACTGTTTTAATCCAGGATAACAACACCCGTTCCCAGCAGCATCCCACACTTTCTATCCTAGTAGTGCTTCAGCCATTGCATCTAAAGGAACGTTTTTGTAAAGGCTTCTGTGGCTGGGAACTACAGAATGCAACTTTTCTCCAATGGTTCTGATATACAGAGGGAGAAAATAACTTACAAAAAAAAATATTTTCCTTTGAAATATCAGGAAATACACAATGTCGTTAGTCCAAGGGGAGACTTCTGCACTGTGAAGCCAACAATCAAACCCAGAGCATTTTAATAGCTCTACCTGTTGGGGCTAAAAATAACCAAGCCTGTTTCCAGCATTACGTTTTCCCTCAGTTCAAAGGTAAAATTGTGCTTCAGACCTTTTTTTGGAAAGAATTGGGACAGCAGGGGGTGATCAAAGCTTTGACAACAGCTGTGAAGGGGGAGGAGGTCTGGGGGTCTGTGAAGGGACATGTTGTACCTCAGTTTGTTCCTCAGCAGACACCGAGTCACCCAAGGCAGTAGCACCCAGGTCCCTCTTCTGCACTGCCCGGTCCTGTGTCTCTCACTGAGAAGCAAAACACATTTTCATCAGAGAAAACCCTTCCACCAACTCTACCTTGGGTCCTTTGATGTTGCAGGACAGGGAACAGGTGACTAATGGTTTCCTTGAACCTCCCTCAAGCCAGGTGCTGGAGAAACAGCACTAAGCACAGGATCCCCTTTCCAAGGGTGCCGCTCTACCCATCAGAAGGTGACTCTGGAAACTGCTCCAGCAGGAGCTTGGCCCTGGAAAAGGGGATGGGGTGAAGGGTACATTCCAGTCAAATGGGAAATGCACTAAAATCACCTTTTAGCATTCAATCCCTAGTTTTAAGCAGTTAACTTTATTTTTTGAGAGTGGAAACTTGCCTTTATGTAGGAGCACCCTTTGGAGAATCCCACACCTAAGGCTCACATGAACCAAATTAGGGTTAAACAGGACCAAGATCTGGGTGAATATTGTGGTGCATGTCCCCAACAATCTCATTAACCCCATTGGCAATTACTTTAGCGTGGATGAAGAGAGAGCCACGTGCTGTAAACATCACTCCACCCAGGGAGGGTGGTCAACTGGTAAGGACCAACAGCTCAAGGATTCTGCCCCTCTGTCCCTCTCTGGTGAGGCCCCCCAAGTGTTGTATCTCTTCAACAGGGGTTTGTGAGGAAGATGGGGACAAACTTTTTAGCAGGGATAGGACAAGGGGTGATGGTTTTAAACTAAAAGAGGATAGATTAGGTACAAGGAAGAAAGTTTTTACAGTGAGGGTGGTGCAACTCTGGCACAGGTTGTCCAGAAAGGTGGGGGATGCCCCGTCCCTGGGAATATTCAAGGTCAGGATGGACAGGGCTCTGAGCAACCTGGCCTAGTTGAATGTTTCCCTGCCCATGGCAGAGGGGTTTGAGCAGATGACCTTTAAATTCCTTTCCAACTCAAACCCTTCCATGATTCCATGAACACAAAGGTGCGTCAGAGTGCCCTCCAAACTGTGAAACCAATGAAGGAAAAGGGGAGGGAATACAAAGAGAACAGGGATATTTATGGGTTTGTTCTAACCTGCCTTGCTTTTCCCTCCCCCTCTCCCCCTGTCTTGTGCAGCGTAATAAACACTGATTAAAGTAGGTTTAAAATTAAGGGCTAAGGTGCCATCTCAGAAGGCAGCTGTCCCCTCCACGGACAGAGAGCTGCTTGTGTCACACACAGGGCACGTGTGTCTCAGGAAAAACCAGTCCCTGGGGCCAACACACACTCCTGTGGACATTCCCACCCTGGCCTTCAGGTCCTGACAAACAGCCCCTCCGTCCAGCCCCCCTTTCCAGCTGGGCCAGGCTCTGGTGCAGGGAGCCCTGGGGCGCTTCTCCCAAACCAAGCATCCCTCGAGGCAGCTGCTCCTGTCCTGGAGCTCACGTCAGTCCTGGGTTTTCTGTGCTTTTTCTCCACCTCTGGAGCACCTGGTCGTGCTCCAAGTCCAGGAGGAAGGGCAGGGGGATCCAGGGGAGTTATGTATGCAGTGGTGCTTGGTTTCAGTACGCTAAAACTCTTGGAAGTCAGCAGAGGTCCTGGCTCCTGCCTGGCTGGCTGGTCGGATGCTGTGGAGAGGAACCTTGCAGGCTGTGCATGAAGAAATTTTCTGCAACAGGAACACAAGCAGCATGTATATCACCCTTCTGCCTCGCTGCATTTAGCTGCTACCCCTTGGAACCAGCCCAAAACCCAGCTCAGCTCTGTGAGTTCTGCTGCTAAGCAACTGGGCTGGGGAGCAGCAGTTGTGACAGCACTGAAGAGCCACGGCCTCTCTGCACAGCTGATACAAATATATATAGCTCAGAGAACAGGGGCCAGGCTCTCCTGCTGCCCTGCCACGGGCCACAAAGCAGCCCCTGCAGCAGCCAGGGCTCCATCCAGCTGCCCTCAGGGAATGTGCTATAAGAGAGCTCATTACTCTTAAAAATACGCCACTGCTGAGCAGATCTGCCCCCTTCCTCTGCTGCTCTTCTCTGTACTCGAGAGCAGCAACTTCCTCTCCCCTCCAGGCCTGGTTCTGCACTCCAGTTAAAGGGAGCTGTGCATTTATTTTTCCCTCGTAATAATGAAGCACAGCTCCATGGCCTGGATGCAGACACAGGTGAATACCCATCCCTGACTCCTGCAAACCAACTGCAGTGTGGCCTCGAGAAATACAGAAGGCTGAATGCACCAGGGTGCTCAGGTAATGAAGGTGAGGAGCCAGGGCATGAAGCAATGCAAGTCAGCCATCAGTGTGGGTTTTCCTTCCTCCTTTCCACTGATGAAAACGCTCCGTGCTCACCTTAGATAAACAAGCATCTCCGTGGGGTTTAATCCACACCCTCCCTACCTTGTCACTGACTCTCTCTGGCTTTGATGTGGATAAAAATTAAACTCTTCCTTCAGTGAAAGCTTCTGCTTGACTTAAAAATCCTTTTGCTGATGCTGCTCTAGCTTTCCTCAGGTGGATGAATCCCCACCCTTCACCCCTGTGCTTTGGCTATATTAGCACAGTTAATAAGGCAATCTTTTTGTTTAGACAAGGCTTTTTTTTTTTTATTTTTTTTTTTTACAGCATAACTTCTACCTAAACTCCTACTCCCTGCATTTCTCTCCTTCTCAGCCTCTCACCAGGCATTTCCCCTTTAGCAGCCTGTCCTAAATATTGATTACCTTAAAAAAAAAGAGAGGTTAACTAATGGTCTTGAGAAATTTAGCACTAAGGGAAGGTCAGAGATGTGAAAAATGGAAACAGCAAAGCACATTTAAAAGAGCTTTTATCTTTTTCCTGCCATTGTCCAGCTTCTCAATACGCCTTAAAACATGTGCTCTTACCTGGTGTTGGTCTCCATTCAGCCACGCACAGTCAGATTTCCACATTGGGATCTGTGAATCCTTTCTTCCCCTCGTTCACCAGCACAGGCTTTTCTGTCCTTGTGTGCCAGACTAAAATCTGAAGAAGCCAGCAGAAGTCATTAGCTGCACCTCTCCACTGCACTAACAAATATTCCTGCACATTAAATCAATAGTGCAATTTAAGCAGCCACCCCGGGGCCTAATGGTGCATCCACCGCTGAGCGGGGCTTTGCATAAACCTTCGCTTAGGCAGAGCTGCTGCTCTGCAAGATGCACAGTGCACAGAAATTACCCATTTCACAGTGTACTGTCGTGGGACATTAACCTGCTCCTTCCGTGTAGTTATCAACCATCTCCCTCAAAAGGCTCATCAGCCTTCCAATGGGGTAAGGCAGTTCCCTCCCAGCCAGGGAATCACACCCGTGTTTCCCCACAGAGAGAGCTCCTCACTCTGGTTCTTGGCTGTGCAAATTTCCTGGCACTTCAGGTCACGTTGGGACTGGTGGATCAGAGAGAGGGGAGAGGCAGCCTCAGGAGCCCCACCAGCTGTTCCCATCGCCTCTGGTTGTGGGAGATGTAAAAATGAATTTTTCAGGGCGTCCCTGAAAATCCATTGGTGGGGAGAAGACATCAGGCTGCTCCTTAACCTCACTAGCACTTCTTTTTCACTCTTCACGTCTTTTCAGGCCCTAAAAAGCTATGAGAGTGTCACTGAGCTGAGAAGGACTTACTGCTGCTGCAGTGCTGCTGCAACCTCTGCTGCCTCGATCCAGGAGCAGAACCATCCCTTCTTCCCACGTTCTCCAGGCTGGACACAGCCCTTTCATAGCCCAGCAAGCCTTACCCTTACCCTACTATATCCCCTCTAAATTCCACCCCTCCCTAAATTCCTTTGGAATGCTGCCACCCCCTATTCTGTACCAGGTATCACGTTAAATCCCCGCTCCGACTTGCTTAAAACAGAACTGAAGCTTCTACTGAAAGCCTCCCTCAGTCTTGGCAGCAGAGTTTCATAAAGATCAACATCTGTGGAGGAGAACTGGCAAAATATGAGGTGTTTGAACATTTCAGGGGGGCTATTATAGGTAAATAGTTTCTACTAGCTGTGCTGTGCTGCTGGCTCAGATGGTTCTGGAAGCTGTTTAAAATACTCTCCTCATCACTAGGCTCGATTATACTTATTGCTTTGCTCCTAAAACCTGGATTGCTGGGAGCAGCTTTATCCTCTCAGAGCAGGTTTCCTGCCTCCCTTCACCTTTGTGTTGATATTTCCTACCTTGCAGGGGTTTCCCTCTGGTTGCTATGACAATACTCTGCACACTGAATCCAAGTGTCTGCAAACCATTCCCACCCAGTCCCTGCTTCGCTGAAAAACGAGGGCATGCTCTGTGTTCTAAAGGATGAACAAAGCACTCTTCAAACCCTCCTGGTTCAATGGGAGCACCCCTGCCTTCCCAAGAAGCTTGTTTGACCAAATTTGTCTCTGATGTGAGCAGTCACCTCCTGTGCAGGGCTTAAATCTCGCCTAATACTAAGGCAGTAGAGACCAACTGCTGGCTGGAGTGGGTCCAAAAAACCATTTCATCGTCCCCCACAACCACTTCTGAGCCTGCTCATCAAAGTTACCCTTTCTTCCGAGCCCTGCTCGCCCACCACAGCAACGCTGCTGCAATCACCGCGCCGCTTCCCGTGAAAAGGCAAAACCAAACAGGTCCCACAAGTGGCTCTCGGGGCTCTGCAGGCATCAGTTACAGGATATATAAACCTTAATGCAGGCCAGGTGCTTGAGAATTCCTGTGGCCAATTCTCCTTTCCAGGGGGAGCAGGTAAGAGCTCTTTCCCCTCCTGACACATCAACACTCAGCCCGGCAACTCGAACCTCACACCCCATAAACAAGACCACAGTGACACACTGTGA